TGCTTACCTCGACAGCCTCGACTACAGCCTTGAGACAGCTGACAACATTGTCGGCCTCTGCAACCATCTGAACAACGCGATCGGTCGACATGGGCGCGAACATCTGATAAACTTTGATAACGCGCATTCTGTGAACCTGGAAAAATTAAACACTAAATAGACTGTACCTCGCGCAGCTCCTTGATGCGCTCACCTCCACGACCGATTACCGACCCTGCTTGGCTTTGATGAACAAGAAGTCTTAGGTCAACAAGGTTATCCTCCTCCTCATCAAGCCTATCATCGTCTTCATCCTTCCTGCCACGACGCCTCGAGGGCTGATTTCCCATAATCCTTTTAGGATCAGATAGTTTTGCATTCATGATATCCTGATGAAATGCATTAGTTAAGGATAGGAGATACCTTTAGTTTAACCAGCAATTCGCGTACGATTTCACCACAGGAATTGAGGTCCCCCTCCAGGGTAAATATCCTAAAATAAAAGGACACAATGAAGACGACTGTAAGATGAAGAGGTATGAGATAGGATAGGTATCCCACCCCTTGGACACAAGCGGAATATGACACTAAGGTAAAGTCGGTGTCCTGTTTAATGGGGGTCGATCGCTATCCTTGTGAATTATTTAGTGTTAGGCGATAGCTTGTTGTGCAGAGCACGTGACGATAAATGGCAAGGTGGAAAAGTTAAATTTCAGAACAATAAACATCCTATTAAACGGAAATAAAGGTGTTTTACGTATTAATCAAAATCTGAATGGTGAACCTGACAAGAACCCTACCGTTCGGGACCTCTGCTGTCAGGAATACTCAGCTTTGCATTATACTGAAACAAGACAGGGTACAGGGGAAACGAATCAGGTTCCGGTTCCGTGAAGGAGATTCAATGGCATCAAGAGAATTCGGGTGTGCTCATGAGGGACAGTGGTCAAACCAACCCAGTTAGTTCAGACGGTAGTAGATTCGAGGTCGTGGATTGTGTGGGAAATGGGTGCCGAAAGGTAGACGAAACAAAGAGGGGCATTTAAGGCTGATTCGACTTTAATGGTCAGTGACCGAGATAAAGCAATTAATAATCAAACTTGCCTGGGAGCGAATGTGCTTTATGTTTTCACCTCCTTTACCGATTATTATTCCGGCAGCACGGCCAGGGATAAGAAATCGCAACTGGATATTCGAGAGATCACCTTTCTGCATTTTTGAAGGAGGGCCATCACCTCTCATGTCACGGGAATCGCGCTTCATCATCGGAACTGTCTAACAAAAGGATAGGAAACGAAACGACCAGGAGTGGACAACTATAACAACGGAGACTCCATTTTGTCAATCAGTTAAACCAAGTTTTTAAATTTGTTGCAAAAATATTAAACTTTAAAGGAATTATTTATATTAATTATAAATTTTAATGACACTTCGATAAAGCTATTTTAACTTCTTCATGATACAGGCATATACCTACTGCATCTAAATCAATACGACTAAATCATTTATTAGGGCATAGCTATAATCATAGTAATATTTAAGAGGTAAGAAAACTAAG